CACTGGGAATTTCAGCTTCATGTGGTAAGTCGACACCACAGCCTGAAATGCATTAAGCACTGGCCTCCCCAGGATCACGTTGTAGGCTGACTCGACATCAACCACTACAAATCTCACCATTTTCACCTTTCGCAAGTCGCCTTCCCCTAGAACGACAACGAGCATAGTCTCTCCTAGGGGCACGACCTCTGAACCACTGAAACCAAACAATGAGGTATGGAGGGGTGTGAGTTGTATGTCGAGCTCCATCCTCTTGAGACAATCATAAAAGATCACATTCACTGAGCTCCCAGTTTCGACAAACACTCTCTGTACTTTATATCTTGATATTTAGGCAGTTATCATTAATGCATCATTGTGAGGTGTCTCGACCTCTCCCACATCTATTGGCCCAAAATTCATTACTGGACCATTTTTGTCGACTTGCTGTACCTCGACTTTCTATGGCGCTTTCGAGCGTACGTCTTCCTTGCTCGATTTGAATCTCCATCAGTTGATCCACCAAATATCTTGTATGACTCCCCTTTTCTGGGGAAGCTCTTCTTTCTCGGGTGTTCTTGCCCTCTTGCGAGGGCTCCTGCTCCTTTCTCTCCTCCTGCTCGACTTCTCTCGATCCTTGTATATGAATTCTTTCAAGTGCCCTACTTTGATCAGCCTCTCGATTTTGTCTTTAAGATGCCTACAGTCGTCAGTATTGTGCCCATAATCCTTATGAAATCGGCAGTATAAGTTACTTTTGGGTCTCGTTGGCCCATCCTTCCTCGTCTTGGGCCATCTGACGACATTGTCATGAATTTCCATTTCCATCACCTCCAGAATTCGTGCTTGAGGGGCCGACAAAGGGGTGTAGTGAGTCGTCCTCCATCCCCTAGATCGTCCCTCCCTGTCTGTCCTTGGGGATCCTCTCATTTCTCCTGATGGGTTCACCTTCTTATCCTTCTTCTCGTCCCAGGGTTCAGTTTTTGCCTTTGCCGCCTGCAAGGAGTCGGCTTCCGCTTCCTCGACATTCATATATTTTGCACATCTGCCCAATACCTCGTCAAACGCCTTACCGGGGCATTTCGCCAGAGAGTTCCTACACAGCCCTGGTAGCAACCCTCGAGTCAATCCTCCTGCTTTGATCTCCTCCGATGCTCTGGGTACGTCGACACACGCACGTGTATATCTCGCAACATAGTCCCACAATGACTCGCCTTCTTTCTGTTGTAGGCCCATTAGGGTTAGATACGATATCTCCTGGGGCTTAACACTTGCAAATTGGTTCAGGAAACTCGAACTGAATCCCTCAAAGTCCTTGATGGCTCCCGATGGCAATTGATGAAACCAATCTTGTGCAGATACCCGCAAGGTCATCAGGAAATCTCGACATTGCACTGCGTCATTATAACGATGCAGCACTGCCATATTCTCAAAACTCCTCATATGCCGAGATGGGTTAGTCGACCCGTCGTAACTTATGTTTATATCACGAAAACCCTGCGGCAGGTCGGCATCCAGAATGTGTTGGGAGAACGGATGTCCCCTCGAGCCTCCAGTTTTCCTTCCCTCGACTCGAGCCTGCAAATTGCGAACTTGGGCCAACAATTGTTCCAGTGTCTCGTCTCTCGCTTGCGGGTTAATGGTCCTGATGGAAGATGCTTCCTCTTCCGCCCTCCGGACCTGCCTCTCATTGGACTGGGCTTGTTGTTCGCGGTCATGGGATGGTAGCTCAATCCTAGGTTGCTCGACCCTAGGTTGCTCGACCCTGGGATGCTCGACCTGCGCCTGCTTGAGTTGGGCTGCCACCGCCTCGGCAATCATCCTTTGCATCTCGCTCCTCGTCATGGTCAAGGTTTGCTCCTCAACCTGGGGTGGCGGATTTGCTCCTTGCTCTAATATCCAGGCTGCCATCCCAGACTCAGAGATGTCTCAATCGACTCCTGTCTGTCGACTCCCGTATTCGCACCCTTCGTCTAGCTAGATCCTCCTTGTGTTAGAACTAGAAGTTTCACCCCAGGTGGGATGATGGGTGTTTGCTCTTCAACACGCACTCCCGACGGCGCGTGTCCTCCAAACAGAGGGAAGCCGAGCACTTGAAGTGGTGGTCTAGGGCCGGTAATCGGCAGAGGCCGCTTGTCTGTCCATGCTGCCCTAAAGTCCTCGTTCAGATTTCTCGACTATCCCTCCTTCTTCGCCATGTCAAACAGATCGGAACTAGGTGCAAAGCTCTTACTTCCCTCAAGAACTCCCCACAGACGGTGCCAATTTGATGGGTCTCCTCCTAGATCTGTAGTGAACCGGTGGAAATGAGCTCGGATCTGCTTGAATCGTCTTCGAATCATCCTTGAACCGCTGCGAACGCCTGCAAGAACTCAACACCGGAGGTGTTTTCGGTGAAGACCCTCCGATGCTTAAGTCAGTGAGAGTGAAGAAGATGAGCTCTGCTCAGTAGGAGCAGCAACTAAGAAAATGAATCGAGAGAATGAGAGTTAGGGTTTGGAGTTACCCCAGCTCCTTTATATAGGAGTAGAAACACTTACTGGAAATACCTAAAATGCCCTGGCCGACTTACGCGAAGTGTCCACAATGCCCTGGTCGGTTCGCATTCCGCCCACTCCTGAGTCAGCATCTAGATTCCTTCTTATCTCATAAAGATTCTCTTTGAAGGTTTTCCCGCAATGTCGAAGCAGGTCTGAGTCGTCGGAGGTCTCATAAGTCGACTTGGGGCCTTGCCGAGTCGACCTAAGGTTACATGTGTATCCGGGGCTCTTGGAGTGCCTGCTCATCGTCTTAAGGGAAGTCATCTTACACTCAGTCAACTCCCCAAAAACGTCTTGAGACCGTTATCGGACCGATGATGGTCTTCAAATGGCCGATGGGCCAAGTCGACTTCGGAGATGTCGACTAAATGATGTCGTCAGCAGTGTTTGTTCAATCTAGTAATTAGCATTTGAATCGGGCTATGATGATAGGGCTATATCATGTATAAATAAATTTAGTTTTATGACCAAATTTTTTTAAAAGATCGAACTTATCTAATTAGCTTATTTGAGTAGCTTTTCAAATAAGCCCATTGAAATTTTTATTTGAACTGGATCATCAGCTAATTTTACTAAACAGTTTTATCATATCAGTTAATTTTTCAACCATAATAACGATAAGCCATAAGAGTATCTCCAACCCGTCGCTAGATGTGTAATTTTGCGCTAGAGTGGAGAAAATCACTCCTCCAACCCATCACCAGATTTCATCTCTATAATAGAGGAGTGAATAGTGTTGCGTCAGTTCTGGCGCAACACTGTAGCTTCTTGCTACAATTTCTTTTTATTTATTTATTTATTTCTTTTGTAATTTGATGTTTTGTGTGTAAAACTTGTATTAGTAATTTTTTGTATACTTTAATGCATTTTTTGGTAAAATTTAATATAATGTATTTATTAGGTTAAATAACTTTGTTCTTTTTGTTTATTGATGTAGTTATTTTTTTTTCATATTAAAATAGTACCATTTGAATAAAAAATTACCATTATTTTTTTTCAGCATAATACACATCTTCATTTAAGAAATTTATTTATAATAGAAAATATGTAAATTATTAGACCAACAAGGATAAAAAAAAAAACTATTTTCTATGGTTTACATTATAAATTGAAATTTCTCTAAAATCTTATTTAATATTAAGTAAATCCGTAATAGTTTAGTAAATACTTGATACATGTTTTAGTAAATAATAGAAACTTTATTATACTCTCTAAATTTTATTGCACTATTTATATATTATTAATTATATAATTTAAATAATTAAATATTTGTAAAACAATGTTCTAATTAAATTAAATTTGTGACACAAATAATTTAAAATAATGAGAATAAAAAAGAAAATCTTTTGTGAAATAAAATGTAGCGCGAACGGTTAAAGACGAAACTTGATTTTTGTTTCACTCTACTCTCGAGTAGAGTAAACTCTGCACTAGAATAGAGATAAAAGCTGAAAATAGTGTAAACAAATGGCTATAAATTCAAAATTTATTTATTAGCCATAAACTAACTTATCCGCTAGTTTAACAAAACATATAGTGTGATATCAATCAATCAATACTTCTATAAAAGAGAATTAAATTATTAGCATTAATGTTCAACGGTTCAAGTGATGATGCCAGACAAATCTTGCCCATGAGTTTTTGATTGATTTTTTTTCGTGCAATCGAACCAAAATCGTCGGCTGCCATCTCCTTCACCACCCTCGCACAGTCGTATTTAAAACCCTATACGCAAGATAGGACAACGATCTCTTCCTAAAGCGTCTTTTAGCTAAGGTTTACTCTCTTATACTTTTTGATTGATTCTTTTTCTTGCCTTCTTTCCAAAGGATTATTAGTAGCAAAAAACAAAAGCAGAAAATTAATAGCTCTCGAGGAAAACAATACAGAAAGAAGTTGATGAAAGTAGTATACCTCCAACTTTCATGGTGTTGGTTTTAGCATGATGTTATAGTGGTTTCCACTTTGTAGACTTTTTTTTAGCTGATGGGCTTGCTTCTAATGAAGGAAAAAATCATTTTTGCTACATAAATTATGTATTCTTGGCTTCACGTTTTAATATGCTCTAAATTATGCACTCTTTGCTTCTGCCAGACGCTGAAAGTAAGCGTAAGGTTGATCGAGATTTGCTTGTATTTTAGCATGATTTTTTAACTTTGTCGACTTTTTTTAGCTGATGGGCTTGCTTCTAATGAACGAAAAAATCATTTTTGCTACATAAATAGTCGAACTAATCAATTACAAGCATAATTCTTCGTTATTTACAGTGTCACTTTTTAATATGCTCTAAATTATGCATTCTTGGCTTCTGCCAGACGCTTAAGGTAAGCGTAAGGTTGATCGAGATTTGCTTGTATCTTGGCTCATATTTTGCTCATCATTTTATCGAACTTTAAGATTGTTGTGATGTACTTAATTCTTGGCAGATTCCTAATTTTGTTCTCATCTCGTGGTGTAGCTTTACTGTACAGCATTTTCGCAATGGCAAGGAAGATGCTGGTTGATGGGGAGCTGAACAAAACCAATGAGGTGGAGGGTCACTATGACTTTGATTTGTTCGTAATTGGTGCAGGCAGTGGCGGAGTTCGTGCTTCAAGATTCTCAGCTCAGAATGGAGCTAAGGTGCTAGTACTGGAAAAAATACTATTTTAAGATTTGCTTATCTTGAGTCTGTGTATATTAACATGGCAATATTGGGAATTATTTTTATTTTTCTAACTGCCATGTACGTTACCTAACCAGAGAACTGAAAGGATCAGCTCATGTGATCTTGAAAAGCAATTATTTGTTGCTTTTACTTGATCCATGCATTTTCATTACAATTATGAATCTATCCATATTGATTTTGTCATCTAGCTCTGACTTTGCCTCTATATTATTCTAACTTGACTAGAATATTAGTCATTAGGACTGCATTTTGACATAGTTAGATTTGTTGAATAATTGTTATGAGATAAATTTGCAATTTGGTTTGACATGTCTATAATCTCCAGTTATTTTATTTTTTAAATGGCTATGTTGAGAGTGAGCAAGCTGTCTCACGAGTTCTCTTTCGCTAATCAGTATATAGAATGTACCTCTGTGTATTGCAAGTAGCATAGTTACTTTGAATTCATGCATTTTATTTTAACTGGATTATAGGAACTTTTTTCTTCCCTTCTGTGGATAATGCCATGTTCATTTAGTTAACTTGAGATTTATAAAATTTGATTGATTGTGCTGCATAGGTTGGTATCTGTGAGCTCCCATTTCATCCTATCAGCTCAGAAACTGTTGGAGGAGTTGGTGGAACGTAAGTGGACATAATTCTTAACCACATTAGTTTCAATGGTGATGAATCTGTATTTCTTGATTATATGTTGTTTTCGATACTTCTGTTATGTTTGTTTTAGTTTCTGCTCTGTTTCATTTGTTTCAACTGCTTGTCTTTCTTGTAGTCCTTTTAGTGTTACCAAATTTCCACTGTGCCAGTACGGCATGGCTGCATTGCAGTTTTTGCCTTATTGCCATTAGAAATTTGTGAAGGATGGCGGTTATGGTGGCGCCACAGGCCGCCATAGCGGGCCTCTGAATCTGTTAGAATGTAAATATTATTTGGTTGAATTGTTTTCATATTTTCATCATTCCCTGGTTTCACCTCTTCTTTTGCGCTTGAGCAATTCCAAGTTTGGGTATCTGCTGATTGAAGTTCTATTTCATATCTCCAGTAATAAATGAGCATCAATACTGGGGCAAGTGTTTAGTAAGGCCGTTTGGTTAATATTGAAATGCATTGAAGTTTTCCCGCATTGTTAGTGTATATTCTAAATTTGAGTTTCATATAGATTTGAGGTTCATTAAAATAGGAGCTCAGACATTTAGGGGATGCTTGGATATAAATAATTTTTAATTTTGTTCGGATTTTTTGGCTTGGAATTGTGAATATTGAAAAAAAGTGGTATGGTTAGTTGTTAGTGAGATTTTGAGTTTATATTAAAACAATATTTAAAATAAAATAAGTAAAATTGATTTGATGTAAAAGTAGGAGAAAAATGATGTGAAGTGATGGTTAGTTAAAATTATGTGATTGGATGGATAGTGAATTAAAGTTGATGTAATGTGTAAGAATGATTGAGTGGTATTATTTAATTATATCAAGGAAATAAATAGCTCGCTAAAGTTGCCGCTATTTAAGAAATAGCTTTTTTTGGCAGCGTGCCGCTATTTGTATTCATGTGCAATTTAGTCGCTAAATCCCGCTAAATCTCCGCTATAGCTTCGCTATAGCTACAGTGCCATAAACGTTTTAGCTCGCTATTTAAAACCTTGAATTATATTGATAATATGGAGGATAGTGAGTTGAGTTCAAGTTGAGTTAGGTTTGTGTAAAAAAGGTGACTGGTTAAAAATGATCGAATGTTTTTGGAAAAATTTGTATCCAAACATCCCCTTTACATTTTATTGTACCATGGCAACTTTAAAGTTTTGCAGACCTCAACTGTTATAAGATCACTTTTTTACTATTCAATGTGATTACCCAAGCCTCTGGTCATATAAAAAGCTTACATATAATTAGCCTTTGAATTTTCTCATTCAATCTCTTCATAACGCAAACCTTTAGAATAATAAGTTTGAATAAAGTTAAGGATATGAAGTTTTTCATGTTTCCAGGTGTGTTATTCGTGGTTGTGTTCCTAAAAAGATTCTGGTCTATGGTGCTTCTTTTGGGCCTGAACTGGAGGTGAGATTCCGATACAATAATATGAAGACATTCTGAGAAACTGTTTGATCTATTTAGTTGATTCTTAATTTTTCGTAAGGGGACTGGAGCATGCTACCATGAGACAAAAGATCTTCTTTCTAAAGTCTAAGGTAGATATGGGTGCACCGGTTAAGGTGCAGGTCAATCTTCATGCTATTTCATCATTTAGCTCTTACCTCACCTTCTCTCTCTAGTACTGGGACTTACATTTTTGTTTGAAAGAGAAATATATATGTGTAGATGTCATTTCCTAAGTTTCTCATTCTTGCTTGAAATTTCAAAGTACCAATAATTGTGTGAAAGAAGTAATGTGGCTCCTTTCATGTGGATGTATGCAATTGTAATGGGGAAGGATCATTATTTCACGTGTCAATACATACTGATCAAGAAGCATGGGTTGGTAGGACTTGGGCTTTAGGAATATTTTCGTAAATGGTGGAGAATGTTAGAAGGATCAATTTCCATTTGCAACGTTTATGTTGTCTGCTTTAGGTTCTTTACATGCGTCATTTCAGAGCTCCTTTTGACAAGTTTTCATATTCTTCTATTTAATTATTTATTTTTATTTTCTTTAGTGGTGTGTGAAATTTTCCCCTGTTAAATGTAAATTACTTTGTTAATTAGCTTTGGTATTGCAGGACTCAAGGAATTATGGATGGGAACTTAACGAGAGGATTGATTTCAATTGGAAGAAACTTTTACAGAAGAAGGTTGGTGGAATCCTAGACATTGCTCTTTGATACATTTTATGCTGTTTACTGTTTTCCTGCTCAAGCTCTCATTCTTCCCTGGGTTCTGTTTAGATCTGGTTTACAACCGATAACCTTTTAGGCGTTCTGTCAACTTTGACTTTGACATAGAAGAAGATCCTCTGTCACACATGTTTATAGATTGCTTCTTCGGTTAAAATGGTTGTTATGGTATGAGTGAAACACTGAAGCATCTTTCTGCTGCAGTCCAGGCTCTCCTTTGACGAAAAAAGTTTTAAGTATGAGATGGTTCTTATGCTAATCAAGCTCGTTTTATATATTTATTATAATTTATATTTAGTCATGTGCTGTTGACATTAAAATGCATGACTGGGATTAATTTTCCACCAGTTACAAAAGAAATTCACAAAAGAGAAACACTTTAACATTGATGATGCTTGTCGATTTCGAATAAGTTTTACTCCCACCCTTTTTTTTTTTTTGGTTTCCAACATTCATTTTCTATTCCTTTTCATCATATCCGATAAAGAGTTGATATGAAACTTTTGTTTCATCCACTTTGCTTTCCAAATTTGCAGACTGAAGAAATAGTTAGATTAAATGGGATCTACAAGCGGTTACTTGCAAATGCAGGAGTTAAGCTATTTGAAGGAGAAGGGAGAGTTGCTGGTCCTAATGAAGTTGAAGTGATTCAATTGGATGGAACCAAAATTAATTATTCAGCAAAACACATTCTAATTGCAACAGGAAGCCGTGCTCAACGTCCACCTATAACAGGCCAGGTATTTTGTTGATTATCATTAACTAGTATGTGAATGAGTTTGACTTAAATTTCGGTTTTTTTTTATATTGTTTCTCCTCATGAAGTCAATTTGGTTTCAAATCTTTACACAAGTTTTTTGCTTCTTTCAACAACTTGAATTTTGGCCCTCTTAACAGATTAGTATTTAGGGAAAAAAATTGTATGCAACCTAGACTTTGCACTAATTTTGATTTAACAACCTAAAGATTTTTTTCTTCATAATTTGCATAATGTTACCTAAATATTCCCCCCCTCCCCCCGCCAT